CCTGACTAGAAATTCTTCTCTCTGATCAGTAATTAAGACAATGGCTAATATACTCTTTCACAAGAATAATAAAGTTTGTTGGTTTTTTGGGGGGGTAGGGTGGGGGCAGGCGGGTAATCATCCTCTGAACTTATTTTTGGTGTTTGGTGCTGGTTCAGAATTTTAAGTATGGGATCCTCATCGCTTCAAGCCAGATTCCTGGGCTTTTTCACCGTTTTAATATTCTGGAATGTAAAAATTGTTAAGTGCTTGCTTACTATCTACAGGTTGGTAGCTTGATCTTACAGGAGACCTATGGGAAGCCAGGCATGCACTCTTCTTCTAGAAGCCGTGCAGCCATGAAAGGGGTATGGAACAGTTCTGTTCTGAAACACGGGGAGTTGCCATACATGGAATTCCTTCAATAGCCATTGCTGATACCTCGTGAAGAAGGACACCCCTACCCTCATGTGTTTTATATTGCAAAGTATTAAGAACACTTACCCCCAAAATAGATTAGACTCATAGCAAACCTACATAGGGTTTCAAAGATTAAATTTTGATGGGAATAGACAGCCTCATCTATCTCTTAGCAGCTGGTGAAATCTGCCTTGAAATTATGAAGTAACAATTCTACAAATACACATACAATCTTAACAAATGAAATTTTAATAATTCAGTTATCATGCAAACATTCTGAACAGAATTTAACAAAGCAAACAGGAGTATCTGAAAGGAACCTAAATGCGTTCAGATACAATAAAAGTTGTTTCTCCTTTAATTATAGCCCAAAGCTATATCCAAACTATCAGCTTGAGAGGTCTTCTCTTCTCTAAGTGCTAATTGTTTCTGCAATTGTTATTCTGAAATATCTAGTACTTGCAAAGAATTTCCCAGTGTAGATGGGATGAATCAACTGAAATTGGCAATGCCATTCTAAAGTGAACCCTGATTTCTGCAGCTATATTTTGTATAGCTGATAGGCTTATCAGCCTTGTCATTGTTGTGTAAGATTAGTCTCCATGGCATTCCCTGGAAGTCACATGTACTTTCCTTCTCGTCCAATAAAAGCCATTATTTATTTGGGCTTAGTCGTAAAGAAATAAAATAAATACATTGACTAGACTCTAGAACACTTTTAAAATCTTTTAAATTGCAGTTTGCTTTATTAACTCAAACTGATGAGTTATTATTAAATGACTTACATAGCAGTTCTAATAATTCATAAAGAAAAGCAATTGATATGTATACATGTTGTAAAATATTGTCATACACTATTATTAATTTAAAACTATCTACACTTATTTATTCTTACTTTTCATTTAATTTTGCAACTGTTTTCACATATGGTACTCATTGAATAAATGACATATTAAGTCAAATATATGTAACAATAATCTAAGCTCTGTAAACAAGTACTTCTTTTTATTATTTTAATAAAGAGTTGGCATGTGTGCACATTAGGGAAATATTTTATTCTAATATGCATTCCTAATGTGAATTGGCTTATTAAAATGACAGAATGCAAATGAAGAAAAATCTAAATCAGTATATTCACTACAGCTGTTCTTTAAATTCAGTATCACAAGGGAATGGCAATGCTTACTTAATTTCTAGAACTGACTAGTTCATCAAATTTGGAGAAGGTTCTGTTAGGTAGGCTAGTGTAGGGCTGGGAAGTCTGCTAACGCATGCCCAGAGGGCCAAGCTACGGAAACAAAGGAGTGGCGCACTGCACATGCTCAGAGGTTCAGGTTTCCCGCTGGGTA